ATGCAAAGTCACGTCGACTAGGTTTATTGCGACCTTGGACACAATTGCAGTTCCCCATAGATTACTTAGTCTACCGGGCATACTATGAGAAAGTGCCTCTTGGCAATGGACCCGGCTCAGTGGCGGGACTTTCCACTGCCCCCTCGGCCGGACAAAGACATCCACTCAGGGATGCATTCTTATACGCAGATACAAACAAGTTACACATCACTCCTGACGTATTGAGGTGCAACCCCTCTACGCAGCAAGGTACAACCCCTCTACGTAGTAAGGTGCCGCCTCTCACCTTGTACATGTTGGTTCGAACAAAACAACACTATCCATCATATTCCCCTTTTGGCCCTGTCATTGGGATGGGTCAACCTGTTCCTTGTTGTGTGTGGAATATACAAGTATGTGAATGTTCTGATATCTGGTGTCCAGTACCTTTTAGGTATGTCTCTTTTTGCAGCATCAGCCCTTTCCTTGCCAGCTTCTGTGAGCAGGGCCTGCCTCTGGCTCACAGCTTAACTTTGCTTTATGTTAGCAAAGTCTTGACCATTACTTTAGTTCAGGCCTTAGGCCTCATACCAGGCCGCTGATACCAAGGTTTATATCTCAGGGCCTCCTGTTACTACACACATAACACAAGAGACAGGGGTCACCCAATGAAATTAAGAGGCAGCAGCTTTAAAACACAGAGAAGGAAGTACTTCACACAATGTACAGTCAACCTGTGGAACTCATTGCCAGGGATGTTGTGAAGGCCAAACGAATAACGGGGTTAAAAAAAGAATTGGATAAGGTCATGGAGGATAGGTCCATCAATAGCTATTAGCCAAGATGGTCAGGGATGCAACTCCATGCTCTGGGTGTCCCTAGCCTCTGATTGCCAGAAGCTGGGAGTGGATGACAGGGAATGGATCACTCGATGGTTGCCTGTTCTATTTATTCCCACTGAAGCACCTGGCACTGTCTACTGTCGTAAGACAGGATACTGGGTTAGATGGACCATTGATCTGACTCTGTATAGCTGTTCTTATGTTCTTATATAAATTTAAATGACACAGTTGTGTGGTGCTGCCTTATGATTAATGTGGGATATGCTAGTTAAATATTATGGCAGGGGTTACCAGCTGGTACTGTTACACATAGTCTTACAAGATTTTTTTCTTAGAATGAGAGCAAATTTCTAATCAAGAAATGCTGTATTGTTGTGTTGTTTTGTTATGTAGTGGTCCTTTGAGAGAAACTGTGGCAGATAACAGACAGTTTTCATTCTGCTTTACTCTCTGTTTGGAGCCAATTCCTGAGAGAGTAGCTTCCTGGGAACTGGATATTGGTGTATCTGCTCCTGCCAAGCAGGAGGTGACACTGGTGTCAGAAGTAATACACTGTTCTTGGAAGAAGAAGAAGAAGAAACTGTATATTAAATTAACACTATGGCAAATGACTAACTTTTTAGCAATGTTTAACACTTTTCAATCAGTGATTGCTGACTTCTCTTTCAGGCCTCACGGCCTCCTTCAGTGACCTTTCACTTCTTGTGAACTTGAAAAGTCTCATTAACTTAATTTCCTGTGCAGTCTTTCTTTCTTCTCTACTTTTACCTTTATCTGTAAGTTTTATCATTCTCTACAGCTGGGCTGGATCCTCTGGTCTGATTAAGTTGGGCTCAGCATGGAACCAAGGAGCAAAGTCAGTTTTATGCTACCGTTATGGCTCCTCAATCCATATATCTCAGTTGTACCTTATTTAAAGAGACATTGCTCATTTTAGTTCCCAAGCTAGCTATGCTGCATCCTATTTGGTGTCCCCTTACTTTTATTGCTGAAAGTTATTTATATCAGAACTAAAGAATCATGGAACTGAAGTTATAGCCTGTTTACACTTATTTTGAAGTATTTATAACAAAAATTGCTAGCTGAGTGTTAGGATTTATAATAATTCATGCCAAATAGCAACCTACTGTTTACTGGCCTGTGCCAGTCGTAACCTAGTATTAAGAAGAGAGCAGACTGATTTCCATTCTCTGAATCTTGTTTGATAGTATATAAAAAACAAAATGAGTATCAGATACTTCCTCTTAGAGTTGACTCCAATTCCAACTGACATGAAATAGCTCCTGTTGAGGAGGCTGTGATGCTGGCAGGCCATCTGCCAGCCACACTGCAGTCATTAGCTAAGACCTTACAAACTCATAGCTGGAAACCAGATCAGTTCACCTGTATGTTAATTTTGCTCAAAATAGGTATTACTCTTATAAAAATATATTTAGTATTTAGACTCTATGAAATGATTGTAAGTTGCTGCATGCATTAATCTCACATATAATGTCAGTATTCCATGCTATAAAAAAACATGTACGTTTTGCTTTATGACTTTGAGAATGTTTGCTCTGAACTTGTGAACCCAGGCATGGGACTTGTTCCCTGCCCTTCCAAAAGGATTATCAAAATCAGTTGGGCCATCAAGGAACATTGCAATAAAAAAGATTGATTAATGGCCCTATTGCACCAGGAAGTGCTATGTGCCCTGTGTCTTAGAAGCTGAATGAAAGAAATAAAACAAAGTCACATGAAAATTTTCCATCTTTTTGGCTGTTTGAACTCTGACAGGGCTAGAGACACCAAACTGAAAACAGAGATCCCCTGGGGCTGCCTCTTGGGTCCACCCTGAAAGAGACTTTGAATTGACAGATCACTAAAACTCTGGCACTCTTAGGATTTAGATAACTCATTTGTGAGTATATGTTTGTTTGCTTTAACCTGCAAATAGCTTTCTTATTTCTTTTTCCTAGTTAATAAACCTTTAGATAGTTTTTTATGGGATTGGCTATCTGTGTTGTCTTCGGTGTAAGATCTAGAGTACCAGTTGATCTGGGGTAAGTGACTGGTCTCTTGGGACTAAATGTGATGTGATCTTTGGTGTAAGTGACCATTTATCACTAAGTCCCATCTGTCTCAGTGGAAAGATAGACTGGGGCGTCTAAGAGGACTGTCTGTGACTCCGTGGTAAGACTGGTATAGTGATCCAGGAGTTTACAGTTTTTGTTGGCTTGGTAAAATCTAATTATAGAATACACCACCAATTTGGGGAGTCTGCCCTGTTTTCTGACACTCTGCACTGAGGTAGGCACTCACAGCTGTGAGCTACTCCAGACAGCATGACAGAGGCATTGAGGTATGAGTGTCCACAGACTATATTTCATTGATGACAGTATGTTCTAGTTCACTTAAATTATCATCCAAAGGACCATAATGGGCATCAGAGGATAAGTCAGGTCTCCCAGGAATAACTGGACCTATGTCTACACCATTAATGTCCACAGTAGTCCTCAGTCCTTTTCCCATTAATTTAAATAGAACTGACTTCTGAAAGATCCTAGCATTGTGGACCCTTCTAGACCAGCCTGCACTTACGTCTGTAAACCTACTGCAGTGGTCAACCAGGTCTTGAAGCACCATGGTTAAATACCCCTTTCTTGATAATAAATTCTGCATCCTGACAGGAGGGGGCATGCTGGAGTGTTTGTATCAAATGATAGGCACATAGGTTCTGTCAGTTGCCCCAGAAGAGTTTGGGAACCCATGTATCCAAAGCCATCAATAATCTCTGGAGCACTACCCAGCTTTGTCCTGGCTGGACAGCACCTTATCAGTGGCATAGGACCTGCATGAGAATGGCCCCAGCATTTGATCTCCCCATGCTAAACTGGCTGGCTACAGACCGGTAGCATTCTGGGGTGGCCAGTTTCCAGATGGCAATGGTGACCTGCTTCTCTATGGGTATAGAACACTGCATGTTGGTACTATAGTACTTGTAGCTGCAGCTCTGGGTCACTTCTGCACAGATCACAAAAAAGGTAGTCCTTCCTACCCTGAAGTTCTCTCGCTACAGCTGGTTGTCCCAGGTCTGCAGAATGATCCTCTCCCACCAATCCATGCTGGTTTCCCAGGCCCTGAAACAGTGCTGAATGCCACGTGGCGGATCCAGGAACCAGTATTTCTAGTTCCAACTACTTGGCATTGTCCTATTCTTCTTCATCCTGCTGCCATCGCCTCAGGGTGTTCTTCTGCAGCTGGAGAAGCTGCTGCAGCTGCCATAGAATAGTCTCCTGCTCCCACATAATCTGCTCAGTGGTGTCTTGGGCAAAGTCCGCTGCTGAATTTGTCTGGCTTTGACTGCTGTAATACAGCCCAACCAGCCTCTGCATATGTGCTTGTCACCATAACAGTACAGAGCATTGTTGGGTCCATGCTAGAAGATAGCAATTAAAAAATGGTGTGAAACTGCCCAGAAAGGATGTATGGGGGGAAGACAGTGGAAACATGGGAATTTAAAAAAAAAAAGAAATCACCTGGCTTCGCACAAATCACAGCGAAAACAATTCTAGGATGCATGTTGGTCAGCTGCGAAATAAAGGACCATGGGATACTCACCGAGGACACTATGCCCTTAGTTCTCAGCAAACCACTGCCATATATTCATACCATGTGAGTTGAAAATGGAACAGGTGTTCTGTGTGCACACTATAAGTGTGACTTACATTCTGTGACTTACCTGACTCTTGTCAAAAAGCTTTCACTGAACCCTGTGTAGGTGAATCCAAAGTGTGTTTCCATCTCCTTCTAGTTTCATGTCCACGTACAGCCATCTACTGCTACCAGTTACTCCATTAGCGTATGTCATAATGGACTATGCTTTGGCTTTAAAGATCGCAACTCTGCTGATGAATCATGTGGAGGGTGAATATGGTTCTACATTATGACTTTTTATTCCAATTTTTAAGTTTTCTAAAAACGTAGGAAATTATACATTTAAAAAAATATCCTATGTTAAAAGAACTTTAAGGTTGCAAAGTCAAGCATGCAGAAGTTTAGAAATGCCAGAATTAAGGTCGCCCATGTAACCTTAATTTGATCCTTCGTGCATATGCATTATAATAGTAGTCTTTAATTACATGATCACTTACTATTTTTTTCACTGATCTACTATCTTGATAATAACTTGCCTTTCAGAGCCTTTATGGACTACATTTGCTGATAGTGTGGTCAAGCTCAGGATAGATCAATCATGTTCACAAACTCCAATAACAGTTCATCAGATGTTCAAAGAGACTGTGGATAAATATGGGCCTCTCAATGCTATGGCCAGCAAAAAGAATGGAAAATGGGAAAAAATCACATTTGCGGAGTATTACAATCTTTCCTGGAAAGCAGCCAAAAGCTTTTTGAAGGTAAGTGTTTAAAAAAACAACAATCCAAACTCATACTTGTTATACAGGTTTTTTTTATTACAGATTATAGCATGAAAGTGTTCCTGTGGGTTTTCAGTCCTTATGAAGAGTAGCAATCACATGTGACTTCTAGAATCTGCATCACAGCCTTTATTGAAATACCATATATACTCGTTCATTAGCCCATTCATTTATAAGCCGACCCCCCAAGATGGATAGGTAAAAATAGCAAAAACTGTATGACCCTTTCATAAGCCGACCCTATAATTCAGGGGCTGGCAAACTTTGGCTCCTGGCCCATTAGGGTAAGCCGCTAGCGGGCCTGGACATTTTGTTTACCTGGAGCGTTCACAGGCACGGAGGCCCTCAGCTCCCAGTGGCGGTTTGCCGTTTCCAGCCAATGGGAGCTGCGGGAAGTGGCGCCACTTCCCGCAGGTCCCATTGACTGGGAACAGTGAACTGCGGCCACAGGGAGCTGAGGGCATCCGTGCCTATGAACGATCCAGGTAAACAAAATGACAATGTATTAGATATTCAATTCAATGATTTCATAGAGTTTAAAATCATCAAATTTTGGTGTAGACCCGTTTATAAGCCGACCCCCGCTCTTTGATGCATCACTTTTTTACCAAAAATATTCGGCTTATGAATGAGTATATAAGGTAAATCTCTCGTAACTGTACCATTCAAATATTAATGAGACCCTCTCAATCCATAGTAGAGGATCAGTGTCATCCTGGAATGCTTCATGGGATTTACCTTCCTTTTAAGTGCAGTATATTTGATGACCCCAACAAGTTGTGTCTCTTAAATTTCTGAATTGCCTAGCAATTTTCTTTTTTATGATTGACCAAGGCAATGAGAGGCAGATTAGTAAATATTTCTATTTAATACACTATATTGTTATAGTTATATTTATTATACTGTTTTAGTTGTATATCAGACAGATACTAATATTTTCAATGGTAGCAGATGGCACTGATGCCTGTGTTTGCAAAGGTGTTGGCAGAAACAGTGGCCAAGTCAATAGGTGAGACTCTGCTTGTGAAAGCAGTTGCAATCAGGGAGACAAGGGTGGTAGTCACAGAGGTGCAACACAGGAGTCTTGGGTGACTGTCTTTTTAGAGCCTGTGATGCAGATTGTTGGCATGGCCTTTAGATTATCTTTGGATGCTAAAATGTCAAGTAAGTTAGTTTTCATTATGTTTTAGAAACTAATGCATATTTTTCAGAAAGAGTTCAAAAGAAAATAATGCCAACAAAAGTTGGCACCGGTGGCATCTGTCACTATAGACAGTAACAGAGCAGCGCTACATGAACACCTAGGTTGTTCTCTGTTCCCTCATGGCCACAGGGGGAGTGGCTGCTCCCCTTGAGCACATTCCCCAAAAGTGGCGTCTTTTTAACTCACTCACAAAAAAATGCGCCACCTGGTGTAGCGCGATCTTCGGCGGTGGGACCTTCACTTGCTCCACGGGGCTTCAGCGGCATTTTGGCGGCGGGTCCTTCAGTGCCGCCGAAGACAGCCGGAGCTAGTGAAGGGCCCGCCGCCGAAGACCCGGAGCGCCACCCCATCAGTAAAAGCGCCGCCGGGTGAGTAAAAGCGCCACAGCAGGCGGTGCCTTTTTTTGTGAGTTAGTTAAAAAGGTGCCACCCGCTGCGGCGCTTTTACTCACCCGGCAGCACTTTTACTGACGGGGGCGGCGCTCCGGGTCTCCGGCGGCGGGCCCTTCACTAGCTCCGGGTGTCTTCGGCGGCACTGAAGGACCCGCTGCCGAAATGCTGCCGAAGCCCCGCGGAGCAAGTGAGCAAGCACTGGAGGCAGGCCCGGGAGACGCAGGGAAAGCGCGGGGCCAGGGTGAGTGAGAGTCCGGCCTGGCCCCAAGTGCAGGCAGGACTCAGTCGGGTGGTAGGGAGAGTAGAGGGGCGGCCTGCGGGGCCAGGCAGCGGCTGTTCTCCCCCCCCCGGGCAGCGGGACTCGGGAACAGCCGCTGCTGCAGGTCCCACTCTCGCGGGGGGAGGAAGCGGCCGATGGCCAAGCTCGGCGGCTGCGGCTCTGGAGCTCGGGCCTGCTGCGGGGACCCAGCAGCGCGCACGCTGTGCCCAGCCACTGGCCAGTCGCGTCTGGGCTGCTGCCCAGCTGGTGCAATCCCGCGGCGGCCCCGGGACAGAGGCATCGGCAGCCCAGCCCCGTTTGTTCCCCTGCGGGACCTGAGCAGGACAGGGGGGCTGGGGCCTGCTGCCCCTACTCCGGGGTCGCAGCGGGATTGCACTAGCTGGGCAGCAGCCCAGACGTGACTGGCCAGGGGCTGGGCGCAGCGTGCGCGCTGCTGGGTCCCAGCAGCAGGCCCGGGCTCCAGAGCTGCAGCCGCCGAGCTTGGCCATCGGCCGCTTCCTCCCCCCGCGGCAGTGCTTGTGGAGGAAGGGGGGGGGGTTGCCCTGCTCCCCCCCCCGCCACGTCCGTCGCCCCACCCCCCCGCTCTCCCCGCGTCCCGATATTTGACTTGGGTGATCTGGTCACCCTAATACAGCTATGCAACACTCCTCATTCGGGGCTATGTACTAAGTCCACAATCTGGCCCCAAGTATAACTAAACAAAACTAATCTGGCAAGATGAAAAGGATTTAGTAAAGATTCTGAGTATGGGATAAGTCTAATATTTGTTGAACTTCAGTTCATGTTGCAAAGCCCTTCTGTTTTTCAGATCTTCTTTGAAGGACTGGGCTGGGCTGGGAATTTGGGTGTGAGGGGTGGGAGAGTCTTATGTTTGCATGAACCTAGAGAGTGTTAATTGCAGACAGTTGTTCCATTTGTATTGTGTATATGGTCTATTAATACATTTTGCACAAATGCCTAGAGCTATGGATGGGTCCATTTTTTAAATGCATAAATAATAAAGAACTCCAAATCTATTTTTGTGTGTGTTCACTATATCTTTCTCTCTAATATGCCTGCATTACATACCTCAGTGTTTGCTCTTTTGTTTTAAGCTTGGTCTTGAACGATTCCACAGCGTAGCAATACTTGGATTTAACTCTCCAGAATGGTTCGTTTCAGCTGTTGGTGCTATTTTTGCTGGGTAAGTTTTGGATTGGTGCTAGGCCTAGTAATGAATGTTTTCCAGTGTAGCATTTGGTTCTGTAGAGTCTGACCATTCTCTCCTGTACAAAGGGGGAGAAGAGAAACCACATTTCATGCTCCTCGTGCACTGCAAATAAACTACCTCTTTTCTCTTTTAGCCACTGCCCACTAAACATATTAAAGCTATTGTCAAGTATCAGGGGAGTAGCCGTGTTAGTCTGAATCTGTAAAAAACAACAGAGGGTCCTGTGGCACCTTTAAGACTAACAGAAGTATTGGAGCATAAACTTTCGTGGGTGAGTGCCCACAAAAGCTTATC